GTCCAAATGCAATTTCAGGGCCACCAACCCTGCTCTGAATTGCGACCTCCTGTGCTTGAAACAAGCTGCAGATTCTCATTGCTTTGATGGATCTGGATATTTACATGGCACTAATATTCATCTGCAGAGTTGCAACTTGGTTACAGTGCCATCCTTACCCTAGAGGTGGGATCATTGCAGACAACTTTTCGGCTAGCATGCCAGCGGCCATCTCTGGTCTGGGGAGATTAGTGAAAAGCATCATTGACGATTGGTGCAGTCTTGGTAAACTCCAGGACATGTCCACACCCCCCTGGAGTTCTGTTGCATCATTGTATCATCGGATGACACTAGTCAGATTAGCCTTATGTACACAAGGAACAGGTGAATGACTGTAATGTGTTCAAGGCAGCTTCAATGCCTGTAAATTTCCTGTAATCAAACATTGCATATTCGAAATGTCTCTTTTTCAACAATGTGCTGCCTTGATTTCTTGTATAGTAATATATATAATATTTATGATAATATTATTAATGGTCACGAAAAACAAAATATTATCAATGAAAATCTTGTAATTACCCAGCAAGATCTGCTCTGCGTTTTGATTTCCAATTAAAATATTTATTATAACCAATAAAGACAACAAATATATATATCAATTCAAGTAAAAAATAGTACCTCTGGTTAGTTATTACACGTCTTCTTTAGGAGACCAAAACCAAACCAAACAACAACACTCACGTTTTGTCACCTTGGACACCGTCAAAAAATAAATTGTTTTTCCAAGAAAGAAAAGAAAAAAAATCAATCAATTCGCGTCTGTCCTACCAAAAAAAAACTAATAGGATAAATAATTAGCGTGTACACATCGATCAAATAACAAACTTCTTTAAAATTATGCCACCACAAAAATGTAAAGAAATTAAAAAGAAGAGAAAACACCAAGAAGAAAAAGATATCACTGGGTAAGTGTTTTAAGGATGGTGGTGGTGGTGGTGGTGGTTATCGCCCACCACTCATCGTCACTCTAGTTTTAAAAAAAGAATGGTAGTGGTGGTTGCAATCACTGTCATTCATCATTCCAATTTTTATTTATTATTTATTTATTATTTAGTCGTTCACCATTATTACCATTACCATTACCATCACAAGTAAGTAAATTATATTCTAAATGAGCAAGACCTTTTTTATGTAATTAACGAAACTGAATCAAAATTTTTTATAGTGCAACAATGCTCATTCTAAGTCATTATCGTCAGGTATATTCTTCTTTCTAAGATTTTTTTCAATATTATCAGCAATATAATTAAATATTCTTTGTTTCTTTCAGCAGATATGACAGTAAAATGCATCATTCATTATATTAAAACAAAGAAGACATTCCTTTTCAAGAATTCTTGGCCACTTTTGGAGTTGCAAAAAAAGATAAAAGAATGTTTTGATGACCTTCTTGAAGATATTGAACCAGAGTATATTCAAATTGTACCCAATGGTGCTGATTACAAAATTGATGATAATGAATTTTTATCTGAATTGTGGGATTTGGCTAAGAAAGATAATTCCAGGCATTCGTGTATAACCTTTGGTATTGTGACAAGTAAATAATATTTCTTGACTTTATATAATAACTGAAATCAGATTCCTTACTTAATAGAGACTTTTCTTCTAGCTCAACAAGATTTTTCATCTTACAAGTCATTGAGTAAAGTTTTGCGAACATTTGGAATAAATGATATTTCATCATTAGTAGACATTCCTCAATTTACATTGGGCAAGTATGAATGTTATTATGAATTATTTGTTGATGCTTTACTAGTTTCCATTGGGAAATTTAAATTATTGTCTTAAAGAGAGAGCTGTAAATTGTTTAATGCAAAAATAATGATATTGACTGTAATGATAGTGCAATGATGAAAATACTTACTTTCTATTCATTATTTAAAAAAAAATAAAAATTAATAGTTAATATGTTTTCAAAAACAATGATATTGAATCAAAAACAATGATATTGACTGTAATAATAGCAACTTACCAATCTATTTATTATTTAAAATAAAATGAAAATCAATAATTAATAAATATTTTTTCAAAAACAATGATATTGACTGTAATAATAGTACAAAAATACTTACGGAACTATTTATTATTTAAAATCAAATGAAACCCAATAGTTAGTATTTTTTCAAAAACAGTGATATTTGACTATAATGATATGATGTTTAGTGCAATAGTTAAATGAAATACCTCGTTTTTATAAATTATTGTTATCATCTATTGGTCTTGCTAAAGCAACAACAGCAAAGTTAGCCAAAAAGAGAAGAGAAATATTGAATTTCATTTTGATTTGTTCAGTTAATTCTTAGCAGTTAAGGAATTTATAAAAAATTAATAGTAAACCAGTTATTTTAGAATTTGGTTATTCTTCGCAATCGCAGATAAATGGATCCTTTAAATATTTGATTTAATGTTAATAAACAAGAAATTGATCGTTGATCGTGAATGGAGTGTGTGTCGTATATAACGATATAATAATCATAAGAAAATTAATTATTACTCAATCGTTTTTTGGAGTGGTGAAACGTCTCACATTAATTATAAATCTTGTTTCATAATTATAGTAATAATTAGTTTCTAATTAAATAAATCCCTAATTCAAATAACATTTACAAAATTTCCCATGATATAATATCCTTTCTGCGCCATTTCAATATACTATGATATTGTTAACAGAATTAGGATTTAACGCTAATTTGTTAGTCGAAATACCCTAATTCCGAACCAAATCTCTTATTTTACTTTATTTTACTTTATCTTTATTCATTTCTTATTTTATATTTATTTACATTTTTGCCCATTTTTTTTATTTTTATTCGTATAACGTCGAAATTAGTTAACTTTATTTAGAAATTAGCGTCGCGGTTAGAATGCTACGTCGCAATTAAAGTGCGATATCGCGGTTAGAATGCTAGATTGCAATGAAGTTGTAAATGATTAATTTAATTGTAAATAAGAAGCTCAAATTCGACTTGCTTGTAAAATAACTTTTAACTTTGTAATAAAATTTTAAAATTAACTTAGAAATAAGTTAATAAATTAGTTTCGACTAAATAAAACGTTTTTCTTAAATCACTAAACCAAAATTATTCGCTAATAAAACTAATTCGTTAGTAGCCAATTCATTCTGATCACATAATCATAAATTTCATATTGTTAACATCAATTAACACGCTCTCCCAAACAATAATTGGTGACAATATTAATTTTCATTTATCCTCAGAACGCATAATTTTACAGGGATTATTTCATTGCTTTTATAATTTGGGAAATTTTAATAATCCTATTTATCATTATTATTGTTGTTGTAATGGTATTCTTGATCTTGTTATTGATATGAGGTTTTAAAATTATCATCAATATAAAAAAAAGAAGAATTGGGGAATTAGACAATTTGACGGTGAAAAAGAGGAAGTGAAGGCACTGAGGATAATAGAGCTGTTCTAATTCGATTTTCTCCATGATTTGATTTAAGTGACTCGTTGTAATTTTGAGTTTTTTTTTTATAAATCAAAAAGTATCAAACAAGCAAATTCTTTTACGATTTCAAATCCCAACGCATTGTCAAGAATCTTCATATCACACTTTGAGACACTTTTCCATCTGGTACAATTATCCGAACCCTTCCTATTGGAAAGAATAATTCATCATAATATGACACATATCTAGCAAAAAATAAATTATAATTAATACATTAGATTATTGGTAAAGTTCTCAGAAGAATTGGTCTTAATCAACATGTTACACGTATATTTTTTATATATTTCATTACTATTACTGTTACTCTTATTGTACTAAGTAAACGGGGTCTAATATTTTCACCAATTACTATTACTATTACTATTACAGAATTACAGCTTATATAGATCAATGCTATAATGTTATATAAAAACTTAAATTGGACAGAAGATTTCGGGACCAGTTTTTGCTAGAGAACCCCCAAATTTGTCATGTAAATATTCAGATAGGTTATATTAACAAAGATTTTACATGATATATTACGTACAAAGATCAATCAGAATCTCATTTCACCCCAAAAGTTATGCAGGTTTCTTTAAATGACAATTAATTTCTATTTCTCGTTCAACTGTTTGTAATTTAATTAATAAATTCAAACAAGTTTAACAATTTTCGTAAATAAAATAACCCAAACCATTTAAAATTCGCTATAATTGTTAATATTAAAAGTGTTCTTCATGTGAGTCTTTCTTCTTCATTTACCAATTTAGTGTCTTAATAAGTTTAAATCGCTCCAATAGCATGATAAAGATGAATCGATAGTTACTAAAATTGACGTTACACATTGGAAATGATTGTAATAATGATTATTTGAACTTTAAAAAAGATGCTTTCGCAACATAAATAATTAATATAGATTAAAATATAATTACATTTCCCTATCAAATTGATTTTAGATATATTAATATCTGAATTCGTAAAAATAAATTCCGCCACATTCATCATTTTTTTTAGTAACCGAGTTCTAGCAATATTCAATAATTAATCCAGTTCATGAGTAATTTCATTCTAAAAAAGAACAAATCCTAATTCTACTAAAAATGCTTTTTGCTTTCGGAACTGGTTGGAGAAAAGTTAATATTAAAAGTCTTTAATATAAATAATTAATTTATATTCTACAAAAACATTTATTTAAAGACTCGCCTTTATATATATATATAATTAATTCACAGTCACCGGAATCAAAGAAACTTCAATGTTTGAGATGGGGGACATCCATTATAGTAATCCTTCTTTATCTGGCATTTCTTACATATCTAATTGTTAACGATAAACCGTCGATACAAATATCTTATGAATATTTGGACAGACTCAGCATTCCTGGTATGTTAGCGAGATGTTAAAATTCTTAAAAATTTTCAATCTAATACCAACAGATTTTTTATTTATATTTATATTCTCGCAAAGATATTGAACTCTGTGGTGATTACAGTGATATCGAAATATCTAAATGCGTTTTCCATTGGAATAATAACGAAAACTCTACTGACGGCTGTAGCTCGGAAAGCAGAATATTTGAATCTGAAAAAGTCACGCTATTGAATAAGAATGGGGAGGAGATTCGGTATTGCTATACTCTTCGGACTAATAGTAGTTATTTTTTCAGCGATCCAGGAAATCCCTCTGAAGGGTTGTCAACAAGAGGCATTGACTTTTATTTCAAAATCCTTAACATTTCCTCTGTTGTTGAACATTTTTTGTCCGTGGGAACTATTACAGGCAGAATATTAGATAAAGGTGATTAACATACTTCATACAAAATATTCTATGACTCTACCTATACATTATATAATCGATTAATATTAATCATGTTTTAACAGAATACAAGAATTTATTATCAACAAATCCAGTAAAAAAACGATTTGATCAACAAATGAATACGTTCGCGGGCATCCAAAATGTGTCAACTATGGTCAGTTGTTTTTAATCCGTCGATTATATTTCCATATGGGTTATTACTAAATTTAATCTACACCAATATTCAGGTATTCTTTAAGAAAACCACATTGTCCACTTTACCTGACGATGTCTCCACAATTCTCGGCCTACCTTCTAATTACCATAGTACACCTTTCTTTACTACTGTGTCGAAATACTTTCAAATGCATCCAAACGAAAGCTTCCCCTTTACAGGTCACTTTCATATTACTCCGGGAAGTTTCCTCCACGAGGTGCAATCTGAAAAGCGGTAAATCTGATAAACCCATTTCAAAATTTGAAATTCTGGTTTATATAGTATTTTATTATAATATCTATTTTTTTTTCATTGTTCTGTTCATTAGTTCATATACGGTTCTTGGTACTCTGGTAGTGGCTGGTGGTATTTTTGGTAAGTTTAAAAAGGCGATATTGAATATTTGATAGACGTCTCTTGATTGTATATATTTAATCGATTTTGGATTACTATTTTTAATAGGATTGATTGGTGGTATTTATATGTTATTCTTTGGTCAACCAAGAATGAATCCTTGGTAGGTTTCCAAAAGCGTTTACTTTGTTCAATTTTTAATTTTCCGAAACATCTAGCTAATTTCAGCAAGAAACTTTTCTAAAAGGGGCTTAATGCGTAGTGTAGAATATTCGGAAATAGCACACGAAGCAGACTTCAATAACCTTCCATTCGTCTCAACAACTAAACATAACAAAGAACAAATTCCTACTGTAGAAAGTAGGATTCTAAAATTAGAAGAAATAGTGGGAGAATATGTGACTAAAACATCTGCTCTGCAAGAGCAGATGAGACTTCAAACGGATACAAATGCAGATATTTAACCTTCTGGAAACTTGTATAATGATGTTATATGGGAGTTCTCATGTGATATCATTATTTTCATTATATATACTTATTTTCTGTATTATGATTGTATTTTGATTTTTGACTTTTATATATATATATATGTGTTTATTTGATTTTTGAATTCTCAAGTTTCACACACGGGGCTTATTAACACAGTTTCAAAAAAAAAAGTATTAATATTTAAAAGTGAAGCGTTTTTATTTTTAAAAAATTATAATATTCTATTATCTTTTTTTAAACTTGATTACTTAATCAACTGTTCATTTTTATATCTACAATTTCTATAAAAAACTTATTTCAATCATGGATAATTTATCTGTGCAATTATCATCGGTATTATTGATCTTGATTTACATTATAGAATACATGCAAAAGCATGGTGTCTCAAGCTTCTAAAAACTTAAACAAGATTTTAGTATATAATATAGCATTGTTCCTCCTTAGAAAAAAATATGACCCTTAGATTATAAGTTTAGCG